GGAAGGCTGCTAGTCAGTACCACCCACCGCCAACTATTGAGCTACTATTTTACCAACGAATAATGGGATTGACCGTTACATTATTAACGTCCCCACGGCTGAAAGGGCGAGCACCCTAACCACCTGGCCATGCCGGGAAATCCCTAAAGTAAATCTGAACCATATTTTATTCGAAAATCCAAAATTGTAATACAGATATCACTGCAGATTCCGAGACTGTCGTCAGAAGTTATTGTTTTGTTCGTTATAGGGAAGTTCGATACTTCCCGTGTATAAGCCACATTTGAATAAAATTTCTTTTAAGTATATAAAATCGAAACAAATATCTGGTGCGTCAAAAAAACCAACAACATTTTCATATTGTTACCAGAGTTAAAAATTTCTAAAGACGTAAAAACCTTACGAAACCCTTTGATTCTATTTTAGTGTATTAACAAAAGTTAATTTTAAACATTTGAATTTTGTGGGAATGTTCCTTGAGCCACGTATTGGTTATCTTTTATGATCGTTAACATTTTTAGAATCACAAATTGTAAGATGATCATAAATCAAATATATCTCGAGAGTTCCCGTGTCTTTTAAAAGAGCTGCTTGAGATCTGTACTGTTATTATCGTATTTTTGGACGTAAATAATTTTAAACTTTATTCAAGTATTAATAAATATAAAATATGATCAGGTAGCTACAATGTTGTATCGTAAAAATAATACTTTGACCTTCCATTTTCATCTATATTAATATTGTAAATAACCTACTCTTTTTCTATTAAAACAGCGCAAAAAATAACCAAATAAATTATTGTACGAAGTTTTAACTGCTTTATATAGCAAGTGAGGACAAGTAAAGCTTTTATTATAGTTCTTGATAATTTTTGTACGAAGTTTTAAGCATTACATAGCAAGTGAGGACAAATAAAGCTTTTATTATAGTTCCTGATAATTTTTGTACGAAGTTTTAACTGCTTTACCTAGCAAGTGAGGACAAGTAAAGCTTTTATTATAGTTCCTGATAATTTTTGTACAAAGTTTTAACTGCTTTACATAGCAAGTGAGGACAAATAAAGCTTTTATTATAGTTCCTGATAATTTTTGTACGAAGTTTTAACTGCTTTACATAGCAAGTGAGGACAAGTAAAGCTTTTATTATAGTTCCTGATAATTTTTGCTTCATAAGACGATACAAATAACTCCATAATCGTCATTTCTGAGCGCAAAAAAAAAAGAACTGGCATAAGACTACAATAACATTTATGTGTACTAGCAATTTTATTAGGAAACATTCATAAAGAATCATAGAATCTTCAATAGCAGGTGTATTGCCCAGATAGACAGGGTTCCCTCGTAGCTTTGGGTCTAAATTGGAATTTCCTCTGACTGATGTCTCCATTAATGATGACAAATGACCCCATTTTTCATTTCTTGTGTTCCCCCTACGTTACAATAAGCGATTCTTTTGAAGGAAAGCTTGCAAGACTGAGGATATGAAGTTCTACGAAACGAATAAAAATGCCTTTATCTTCTGGTGGTACTGCTTATGGCAGCAATTGCAGGTTCTGAAGTACTCTTATAGGTAGGTATCAGCACAAACATGTTTGTCCTCATACAAAAGACGTTCAACGGATTATCGCAGTGAAAACTTGCACCATTGTCAACAATAGTGAACTGAATGTCAAACTTGTGCGTTTCCAAGTGTGAAACTTGTACATTTCCAAGTGTAACAAAAACCCTACTCGTTTTCTTTGTTACCATAGCAATAAAAACATCCATGTATAAAAACGTGGGGGGTTTAAAATATTTAATATTTTACCCCACGTGAAAGCATTTGGCAGACAGATATATGTGAACTATTATTCACAGTTGTGTTCTGACAAACGACGTAAGTCAGGTTGTGTAACTGGCGCACGTTTAACCTAGGAAAAACGAAAATGTACATAATTCATTTTACTATTACTTACTTACTGGGTAACATTTGTTAGCAATGTAACAACCAGGTATCAGTCAGACGTTCTTTACGGTACTTGCTAAATTCACGTGAGAAGGTAAATATTTTAACAAAGTGACTTCTATTTTCATTCATAGAGGACTGGTTCTTTTTTGTAATACTACAGTTTCTGAGTTTTTACCGTACGAGTTTCGATAACCACGTGTCCTACGGGATGCAAATCACGGACTTATAACCATATTTACCTAATATCTGTAGTAGCTGTTGAAATGTTCTTTGTCAACATGTTCCTCCGACTCTCCAAAACGTTTATTGTTATATTTTATTTCAAAGAAGCAATACCCTGAGCTGTGATGCAGTTGGCCTCATATGATCGTATTTTGGCCAGGTGGTTAGGGCGCTTGACTCGCAATCTGAGGGGCGCGGGAAACATTAAATACATAATAACAATCCGTAAAAATTAAAACATAGCTGTTAATCATAGCTGTTAAAGCATAGCTGTTAATCATAGCTGTTAAAGCATAGCTGTTAATCATAGCTGTTATAACATAGCTGTTAATCATAGCTGTTAAAGCATAGCTGTTAATCATAGCTGTTAAAGCATAGCTGTTAATCATGCTTTCTACTTTCATAAGAGATATCTTTAATATCATTTCTACTCTCAAGCCTCACTGTGTATTTACAAATTTATAGTATTTAAATAAAGTATCAACTATATTTTTTGGCTTAAGAGAGTTTAGTTTTACTTTGAAAATTTTTTTTACTTGATATAAATACGAAATCGAATAAAAATTAGCTATATTTCCAAACCAACATCAGTTTTCTAATTCTGTCAGTATGGTTAATGTACACATAAATATATAATATATGAAATCATTTATGGCAAACCATCCCGTTGAAGTAATGTTCTCTCAGAATGCTGAGAATTGTTCGAAAAATTTGAAAAAAAAATGTATTTAAAAATATGTTTTAAATTCATCAAGTGGGTGAAATATCTTGAACACAACATAGTCTAAAATAATACACCTCTATTAGCTACAACAAGACAATAACAAAAAAAACATGATTTGATAGAAGACATGAATTACTAGCGTTCATTTGTTTGGTTTGTTTTGAATTTCGCGCAAAGCTACACGTGGGCTATCTGCGCTAGTCGTCCCTGATTTAGCAGTGAAAGACTAGAGGGAAGGCAGCTACTCATCACCACCCACTACTACTATCTCACTATCTCTTTGGCTACCCTTATACCAACGAATAGTGCGATTGACCGTCACATTATAACGCCTCCACGGCTAAAAGGGCGAGCATGTTTGGTGGGAAGGGAATTCGAAGTTTTTTTTAATAGATGTTCTTGTTCATTTGTGTAAATCCTGACTATTTCCCTTTTCCCCCGATGGGACAGCGGTATGCCTACAAAGTTACACCACTCAAATCCGGGGTTCGATTCTCCGCGATGAACATAGTAGATAGCCCAATGAGGCTTGGCTTTGCTTTCAAATAGAAAAACTGTTTCAATGTATTTATAAAATTTTATAGTGCAGTAGCCTAACTCACGTCAATCAGTCAAAAACTATTTGAAACATAACTGCTATCAACTATTCATTTTAAATCGTTATATTTTTGTTATCTTCTAAAAAAAACTAAAATCCAGAAATTCAATACTCATTTTTGTCTTGTAAACCGGTTTATGACAGACAAGTCTTGAAATATCTCAAGGAAATACTTTTATATTATTAAAATAATCTTTAGTTATCAAGATATTTTTCGAAAGTTTACTATATTTTACTACTAGTCTGATCCCCAATAAAAGCTTTGCTCTTTAGTATCCATGTCAAAAAGTTGCTGACGTAATAGTTTTCCTTTTTTTTTTCACTGAGCGTCACTCTGTCTTTAGATATTTCTGTCAGTTAACATTAATAAGATAGGTCTAAGTTAGTCACTATATATCTATATAAGATAGGTCTAAGTTAGTCACTATATATCTATATGTTTGTGTAAAAACAGAGAACACAATATTAGGTAGATTCACCGTTGTTTATGTAATGGACAGAGAACACAATATTAAGTAGATTCACTGTGTTTCTGTAATCAACAGAGAACACAATATTAGGTAGGTTTACTATTGTTTATGTAATAAACAGAGAACACAATATTAGGTAGATTCACTGTTGTTTATGTAATAAACAGAGAACACAATATTAGGTAGATTCACTGTTGTTTATGTAATAAACAGAGAACACAATATTAAATAGATTCACTGTGTTTCTGTAATAAACAGAGAACACAATATTAGGTAGATTCACTGTGTTTGTGTAAAAAACAGCGAACACAGTATTAAGTAGATGCACTGTGTTTCTGTAATAAACAGAGAACACAATATTAAGTACATTCACTTTTGTTTATGTAATGGACAGAAAACATAATAGCACAAGGACTGGCCGTGACAAGTTGAGAAAATTAATACTTTTCTGCATGGTCGCATCACCAAAGTATACAATGGTTTGGAAAGAAAATTGATGTCATAGCTAAACCCAAAATATTCCTGAATTTGAAATGCTCAAAACGTAAGAATAAGATAGGTCTAAGTTAGTCACTATATATCTATAATGGACAGAGAACACAATATTAGATAGATTCACTGTGCTTCTGTACTAAACAGAGAACACAATATTAGGTAGATTCACTGTAGATTCACCGTTGTTTATGTTCTAATATTGTGTTCTCTATCTTTTAGACAAACACAATGAATCTACTTAATATTGTATTTTCTTTTTATTACTCAAACAGTGCTGAGTTCCTCCACATTCACGTCTGACTAGCTTCGTGATAGGAGATAAACGAAAACAAGAAATAATTCGTTAAGTAGGCGATTTTCTATGATCACTGACTTAGTGACTATGATCACTGATTTAGTCTCAGTAAAAGAAGATATGTGAATATACAATTGAAATGTATGAATAGATATGTTACTAATTCCATTTAATGATATGAAGTGATGAAACAATTAAATATTTTTTAAGAAGTTCAGAAAGTAAATTATGATTTTACAACAAATTCAGATGACACCGACTGACACAAGCTGCATTTCTGACCAATCAAGAAGATATTCTACAAACCTCCCATGAAGCAAGCTGCATTTTTTGTACAATCAAGATCTTCTATAAACCGGCCGTGAAATATGGTGCATTTCGGACCAATCAAGATCTTCTATAAACCGGCCGTGAAATATGGTGCATTTCGGACCAAGCAAGATCTTCTAGAAACCGGCCGTGAAATATGGTGCATTTCGGACCAATCAAGATCTTCTACAAACCAGCCGTGAAATATGATGTATTTCTGACCAACCAAGATCTTCTACAAACTTTTCTTACACAATGTGTCTTGTTAACTTGGAGCTTCACTCTAGGTAAACAAGTGACCCCTTACAGAGCTCTTCGGACACACAGCAGCTTCTTCACAGACGGCCAATCTTGTTACTGAAAACTGACGTTCAAGACCATTTGAAGATATTTAACTCTAGTTATGTAACAATCCTCGCTGATTTTACAGCCAATTATAGCAGCGCTGACTGTAAGTGATCTTCTAAAAAAAGATTCATGGTTTGTGAAGGCATGTGACGCTAAAAATCGGGTTTCGGAGGGAAGAGCACAGATAATCCATTATACAGCTTTGTGATTCACAACAAAGAAACTTTTATTACCGAGATATAAAAAATAACAAGAACTAAAATGAAGATGAACAATATTTATAATTCTATGTTAAAATACAGTATGTATTTATTGTGTTTTAATAGTATATACGTATATCTGTTGATGTCGTGGTGTAAGTAATGTGATACGCGTGTGTGTGTGTTTGTGGTATCTGTGTATGGATTTCTATACCTGTTTTAACGTACTGACGAACTTTAATCATTTAATTTTAAACACCATGTACCCGTATTTTTCAATGCACACTGATATTCACACTGTTCAATAATTCACACATAATAGTCTATAACGATATTATTGTTATCTCGTAAATGGAAGTATCATTTAACTTCATACGAAAGCGTTTTTTATGTAATCTAACTTAATACAAAGAGTTTTTAAGTAATCTAACTTAATAAGAAAAAGTATTTGATGCAATCTAACTTAATACGAAGATGTAGTTGATTCAATCTAACTTAATATGAAACAGTTTTTGATGCTATCTAACTTAATGCAAAGGAGTGTTTGATGCAATCTAACTTAATATGAAAATGTGTTTAATGAAGTTAACTTAATATGAAAATGTGTTTAATGCAAGGTAACTCAATATGAAAATGTATATCTAACTTAACATGAAAATGTGTTTAATGCAAGTTAACTTAATATGAAAATGTGTTTAATGCAATCTAATTTAATATGAAAATGTGTTTAATGCAATCTAATTTAATATGAAATGTGTTTAATGCAAGTTAACTTAATATGAAAATGTGTTTAAAGCAATCTAATTTAATATGAAAATGTGTTTAATGCAAGTTAACTTAATATTAAAAAGTGTTTAATGCAATCTAACTGAATATGAAAATGTGTTTAATGCAGTCTAATTTAATTTGAAAATGTGTTTAATGCAATCTAACTTAATATGAAACAGTTTCAATACTCTCTAACTTTGCCATTAGATTTAATACATAGACTTTGTTCACTTCGCAATAAATACTCGATTGATCATGGTATTAGATTTGGTATTGAAAATAAAAATAGAGGTTCCATACTTTAATTTTCACGTTACTCTTAACTTTCAAAAACTTATAACGATAAGAAATAAAATTTAGCCATATCGATCACTGAACAAAAAGGCATAGTGATGTATGTATATAGGATAAATATTTAATCTCACTCTCACTAGATGGCAATATTTAATCACTCGAAGAGGTAGATAAAACAGATATTTAAATTACTTTTTAACATATAATTATTAGTCAAAGTTTTTAATTTGTAAAGTAATGTTGTTATTGTGAGCGCAGTTAATTTATCAAGGCTCATTGCATTTTGAAAAAAACAAAACAGTTTAAAGAGGGTAAAACTCGGTATTAATGAATTATAAATTAAACTTCATTCATATTGAATACTTTTTATTCAATTATTCGTCCGGTGTCGCTTCGGGTGAGCAGTTCTGCCACTTCATTCAAAGATTATAAATATTAATAAATTTGCATTGAATAATTACCGTGTTTCTTTACAAAGTTTACATCTACAATTCTACTATCAGTATCCGTGGTTATGCAGAATGTTTAATCGAATTATGGGGAGTGTAACATCTATATTATTTACGTTATTATAATAATAACAGTAATTTTATGATTAAAAAAAATCGATAAATATATTGTCTTATAATTATTGGTTTCTTGTTATTTGATACTTATATTATAAGATTCGACCCCCAGTGGCACAGCGGTATATCTGCGGACTTACAGCGCTAGAATCCGGGTTTCGATACCCGTGGTGGGCAGAGCACAGATAGCCCATTGTGTAGCTTTGTGCTTGATTACAAACAAACAAACAAAATTATAAGGTTCTTATGCCAGAGGGTTTTATATTTTGTTTTTTAAGGGTTGAATGTTCAAGGATATAGAGTCTTGTATAATTAAGCTTCCTTTATCGGGATAGAAAAAATGTCAATTAACAGCACTTATCTTTATCAATAAATTTACTGGGCTGTGACATTTCTTTGCGTATAACTCTAAATACTACATAATTTTTGGGGCTTTATTCACTACAGAGAAACATGTGATATACAGTTACCCCATTCAGACCAAAAATGTTGAACAATCTAACACCACTTGATAATTCTAGTTATTACCTTAATATTTCTGTCTTAGTTTCTCAGGTTACGAAACTTTGATCTACCTTTTTATGGCAGTAACGACGTTTTAATTGGGGTTTTATAAACACGAAATTACTATCATCAATTTTATTTAGTTTCTTAGTTAATATCGCCATCTCGTGCAACGTTTCTAAACTAGCTCAGACAAACTGGTGTAAAGATCAGTAAGGTCCGGCATGGCCAGGTGGTTAGGGCGCTCGACTTACAATCTGTGGGTCGCGGGTTCGAATCCCCGTCCCACCAAACATGCTCGCCCTTTCAGCCGTGGGGGCGTTATAATGTGACGGTCAATCCCACTATTCGTTAGTAAAAGAGTAGCCCAAGAGTTGGCAGTGGGTGGTGATGACTAGCTTCCTTCCCTCTAGTCTTACATTGCCAAACTAGGGACGGCTAGCGCAGAGAGCCCTCGTGTAGCTTTGCGCGAAATTCAAAAACAAACAAACAAAGATCAGTAACACATTAATCCTCAATATTCAAATAATACAGTATTCATTTCATAGCACAAATACAAGCGATTTGCATATTTAATAAAACTCCTAGAAAGAATAACTGAAGTTTGTTTTCTTTAACTAGCTTGTAAAATTACAAAATAAAAGTTTTTTCCGCTGCATCCAAGAACGTCTTTCTGTTTCTGTTTTTTTTTCTTCAGTAGATATCCCAGTATGATTTATACATTGAACATACTTTGATAACGCTGCCACAATATATATACTGTATCTTAGTAACATAAAACGAAATGAGACTTCAGGTTTTAGAATCACTATTATTTGTTTACGAAGACTGGCTCGTAGATTACTTTTTGATACATGTAAACTATAAGAGGCGACAACTTACCAACATTATAATTTAACTATTTAATAGCGTCCTACAATAAATAATGTTATTCATGCTCTGTAAATAGGAAAATTCACATTTAAAAATAAAGAAGTCTAGAAGAAGAACTCCATACGTGTTTATGACTGTATAAGCACGAGGTCTGAAAATTCGATACTCAAGTTCTTTAAAATTAGCTCATTTTAACAGACGTATGATTGCAGTCAAGTATGACTATGCTTTCAGAATTTTTTAAGCATATAGATATGCAGAGGGCTAAAACATTGACTATTATGAACAGTTGTTATTAGAAATACACATAGTTGTAGTTAGGAGTACTCTATTTAAAATTATCATTGCTTATATATAACAACACACGTTACTTCACATTAGTTTATATTTCAAAATTGCTAGAATAGATGACCAGTTAATTAAGAGTTCGCTGTTCGAAACTAATCATCGTACTCCTGAACTCACCTTTTATTATACTCCAAAAATATCCCAATAGATGGAGCTAGGTTTAGTACTAAAAAAAATTTTTTTTTTTTTTACATAGTTGTTTGGTTGTCTGCACTCTCAGAAAGATGTCGATCGTATAAAAACAAATTTATGCTTTACTTACTCTCCATTCTGATGGCGGTAAATGTACGTTCAATGGTAAACAGGAAATGGAAATGCTGTTGTAACTTGGAAACGTGATTGTGAGATTTAGGCCCCGGTTTTTTCTTAATTATCTGTGTTTACAGCTTACACAATCTAACCTAGTTATACTGATTGTTTTTTTGTTTTTTTTAATATCTGTTCTAGCAAACTTTGGTATATCGGTTCACGAAAGTCATTAATACAAATTCAGTGCGTGCTTTTATTTGATTCTTTGAAAGATAATTAACCTTAATGTTTTGAACACTTCTTTCTGCTCATCTTACGATAAAATGTAGAAAGGTTAAAGTTTATGGTTGTTTGTAGTTAAGCACAAAGCTACATAATGGGCTATCTCTGCTCTGCCCACCACGGTACCGTAACCCGGTTTCTAGTGTTGTAAGTCCATAGACATACCGCTGTGCCACTGGGAGGAATGTTAAAAGAAAATATCAACCTTTCAAAATTCGAAGCTCGTCACCTGAATCAACATCTTAAACATGTTGATTGGTAATCTTAACAAGATTTTGATATGGCTAACAGAATAACAAACCAATGAACATTAACAGATTTGTTAGTTGGACATGTGAGATAAGGAACTGTAAGAGAAAGTTATTTATTTATAACTAACTGTAGTATCCGTCCGTTGGATGGGTGAAATAAAAGCTCGTTTCTAACAAAAGATAGGAAATTGTGCTCTTATTTTTGTTTCTTTACATAATAAACATTAAAAGTGAAATATAAATACAATAATACCGAAAAGAAAGACATACCATTTTCAAGAATTCTAACAATAGTGGTGACATAGTTCCTTCTAATGTCAAGGGATATACAACATTGGTAGTTTTTCCGAAATTAGATATGATATTAGAGGGGGGGATCCAACCCCCATGACCTTCTCATGTCAATCTGTACCGCTGTTTCAAGTTTGGTGCTGAATGATCAAGAAACGTGGAAACGTATAAGGAACAGATACACACCCACACATAGTGATGTTTATTTATATAAATTAAAATATATAA